AATTTCCAAATTCTCAAATTTCCAAATTCTCAAATTCCCAAATTCTCCAGTTTCCCCATTCTCAATTCTCAAATTCCCAAATTTCCACATTTCCAAATTCTCAAATTCCTAAATTCCAAATTTCCAAATTTCCAAATTCTCAAATCTCCAAATCCCTAAATTATCACATACCCTTATTCCTCCATTCCCCCATTCCCCCATCCCCCTTTCCCCCAGTTCCAATTCCCCAATTTCCCTAATTCTCGAATTCCTAAATCCCCAAATTCTCCACTTTCCCAATTTCTCAATTACCAAATTTCTAAATCCCCAAATTCTTCAATTTCCCAAATCTCCAATTCCCCAACTACGAAATTCCCAAATTCTCAAATCCCTAAATTAGTATATTCTCCCATTCCCCCATTCCTCCATTCTCCCATTTCCCTAATTCTGGAATCCCTAAAACCCCAAATTTTTCAATTCTCCAATTCCCCTAATTCTGGAATCCCTAAAATCCCAAATTCTTCAATTCTCCAATTCCCCTAATTCTGGAATCCCTAAAACCCCAAAATTCTCCAATTCCCCAATTCCCCAAATACAAAATTCCACTCATTAAAGTATTACAGGATTCGCCATAATAATAAAAACACAATTGTGATGAGGAAGTTTATTAATAGTTCTCTTCGCTAACATTGTTCGCCGAAAAATGCGAGCAGATATACAAAATAAACTCGGTGCTTGCATTTAATGATATGTCTCTCGAATACAAACATATATACATGGACACATCGTGAAATAAATTTCAGGTTCATATTCGCATGAAGAAGCTGAATTAATCGGAAACATCTTATTTCTCAGTTATAATAAAAGCTACTTACTAAAGAATAATTAAATGAAGCTGCATTCATTCGCAAATACTCTACGCTTCTTTTTTTATTGATAAAATATATTCTGGCAAATGTTAGAAAGATGTTAATTATAAGTGCGAGCTGTCGTTTAATAGCTCATCGAGAAGTTATTAATTATGGAATTTATAAAATAATTATTCGTACGAAAATTGGCAAGGTTTTTATTAAATAAGCTCTCTTTTCCGTGCTTACGCGATCAAACGAGTGTATTACCCTGGAAAATTCGTTTGAAGCTTCGACATTGTGAATATCGATTCACTGGTACAGAAATACGCGATTGTATATCGATGACTTGGTATACAAACGTTGTATGAGTACTGAAAGTGTTCTTGAAGAAAATCTGTTTACTGTTGTAATGGTAATTTGCGTTATTTTACGTAGATATTTTTTTGATTATGTATGCACATGTGATGCAAGCTTTTGGATAGGGGTAATATGATCGTGAATGTAACACAAGTGATACAGAGGTTATTTTTGTATTGAAAATAATATAAATTTGTAATACTAGTAATACGACTATAAGCTTGTTGTACTAGTAATACAATTATAACCTTGTATTACTAGTAAGACAACTATAATTTTGTATTACTAGAAATATAATTGTAACCTCATATTACTAGCAGTACAACTATAATCTTGTGATACTAGTAATATAACTATAATTTTGCAAAATTATTAATACAATTATAACCTTGTATTACATATGATACACCCATAACCTTGTGCTACATATGATCCTAACCTCGCATCACATGTAATGCACCTATTACCCTCTACTATATGTAACACAATCATAACCTTGTATTACATATGACACAACATAACCTTGTATTACATATGACACAACATAACCTTGTATTACATATAATATAACATAACCTTATTGTTGTATTACATAAAATACAACATATTATTACATTACATATAATACAAAATAACCTTGTATTACATATGATACAGCTACAACCTAAAACACCTAATTAGTAACATAAAGAAAAATTTGCCAAACCATAAACGGTTGTGCAATTAGAATAATAAATATTAATATTAACAACAACCAATAATATTAATTTTACCAAATTTATAAAATAGGTAAATATTAATTCTAACAAATTAAAGTAGGTGAATATTAATTTTAAGTTTATGAAGTAGCTTTTCATATGTCCACAAATTATTAAATTTGTAAGAAGTAAAAATTATCTATTATTAAATTTGTAAGAAGTAAAAATGATCTATTATTAAATTTGTAAGAAGTAAAAATTATCTATTATTAAATCTGTACGAAGTAAAAATTATCTGTTATTAAATTTGTAAGAAGTAAAAATTATCTATTATTTAATTTGTAAGAAATAAAAATTATCCTACATTAAAATACATTGCAATTAAAAAGTGAAAAAAAAATTGCTGAATATTGAAATTCAAATTTTTCAAAAAGTAGAATTATGTATTATACAATTATTATATAATGAGTCATCGATATAATATCGTCGTCGATTATCGCAGCATAAATATTATAGTAGAACTTCGTTTATTCGAACATGTTAGACAATAAAGTTCTAATAACTGAAATAAATATTTCCTTATTAACGTAATTATAATTTTTTGTTAGAAGAAGATGAGGGTCCCTTACTTCACTAGAACTGTCAAGTATTTAGTGATATTTCATTTTTATATCATTTCTATGACCAGCATTCTATGAGGAACTGAACTCAGTCTGCATTTTATGTGGAGGATGACATTCTGAAGGTTATAGGTATAAAATGCATTTCAAGAGGATTATGGGTATAAAATGCATTTTAAGAAGAATATGACTATAGAATGCATTTTAAGTTAATATTCAATCTACATTCTCAAAAGAGAATCCAGTCTGTATTTTATCAAGAGTATTGCTCTAATTTACTTTCTGTCAACGAAGTGAATTCAATCTAATCGAATAAGATGATCAAAGATACTCTTGAACCAAATGAAACATTTATACATTACTCGATAGCAAATCTAAAAAAAAAAATCTCACACTAAGCTTCAACCCTCGGTCTCATTCTTGGGGGTAGTAAAAGGTAAAAATTAGAATTTTAGTTTTTGGCTAAATTTTTCTATTTAATTTTGTACAATAATTCTGAAGAAATTCTAAAACATTGACGTACATATAGTACATATTATAGAATTTTTTTTTAGAATTTTTGTATGAAATTAAATAGGAAAAATATGTCAAACACCAGAATTTCGACCTTCCTCTTTTACTACCCCTATGGATGAAATAGAGAGTTGAAACCTCGTGTGAGATATTTTTTTTTGAATATGTTATCGACTGATGTAATACGTGTTTTATTGGACTAAGATCAAATGATTATTTCATTCAGTTTAAAATGTCGTTTTGATTATCTCATTCTGTTATACCTTCTGCATTTTATAATATAGAGTTGTATAAATGAATCGTATCGATCGTATCGTATCGTATCGATAATAAATCGTAATCTATACAATACAAATTCAAATACATATCCAAAAATGGCAAATCGCCCACAACTTTACATAAATATCAAAATAAACGAAGTCTGTCGAGATAAACGAAGTTCTACTGTACCAACCTTCATACAAGTTATTGTCCGTTTACGCTTAAAGCACTTAAATTTAATCGAGACGCAAGAATCTCATCGATTACAATAAACGAAGTAAAAATCTCATAGATTAAAGTAAACGAAGTAAGAATCACATCGAATAAAGTTAACGAATATATAGAGAGAAATCGAAATTGATAAAACCGTATTAGATCAACAGAGACTTGCAAGTTTTTTTCTAAATTGATTAAACAGAATCGAAATCATGTGACAACATGATTAGAACATTAACAAGTGTTTTATTTATCCGAACTCCATTTATTCAAATGAAATTTTATTTAATTCTTGATTAACTGAGTTTATCGTTTTGCTATTAGAATTGTCATTAAGTACTTTTTTTATATATACGAACGATAGTGTAAAGTGTAAACTATAGAAGAAAGAGAGTTTCTAACATCGTGTGTTTCTAATATTATTGATATCACATTAGGTTTGAATAAATGGAGTTCTGTTTTAATTGAAACCTTAGATGGAAGAACGGTGTATAGATTGTACTTTTCTTCTTTTAAAGACCGTATTAAGGGTAGCTGTTATTTTGTTCTTATGCAAGGTAAGGCTAAATCTAAATATTTATCATTTCACATGATAATATCACAGCATGATATTATCAATTATCACATTACTAAATTACCAAATTACTAAGTTTTCAAATTACCAAATTATCAAGTCTTCAAATTTACAAATTCTTAAATTTCAAATTTTATAAATTACAAAATTCATTAATTTTCGAATGTACAAATGTTGTAGTCCCTACATTAATAACTCCTCAAATTTCCAAATCCCAAAATTTCAAAATTTCAAAATCTGTAAAACTCAACATCTCTAAATCTTCAAATCTCCAAATCTCCAAGTCTCCAAGTCTCCAAATCTCCAAATCTTCAAATTCCCAAATCCCCAAATCTTTAAATCCCCAAATTTCCAAATCTTTAAATCTTCAAATCTTCAAATCTCCAACTCTCTAAATCTTCAAATCCCCAAATTCCCAAATTCCCAAATTCCCAAATTCTCAAATTCCCAAATTCTCAAATTCCCATATTCCCAAATTCCAAAATTCCAAAATTCCAAAATTCCAAAGTTCCCAAATTCCCAAATTCCTAAACTCCCAAATCCCCAAGTCCCTAAATACCCAATGTCCAAATCCCCAAATCTCTAAATCACAAAATTTTCAAATGCCCAAATCCCCAAATTCCCAAATTCTCAAATCCCCAAATTCTCAAATTCCCATATTCTCAAACTCCCAAATTCCCAAATTCCCACATTCTCAAATTCCCAAATTCCCAAATTCCCAAATTCCCAAATCCCCAAATTCCCAAATTCTCAAATCCCCAAATTCTCAAATTCCCATATTCTCAAACTCCCAAATTCCCAAATTCCCACATTCTAATCTCCAAATCTCCAAATCTCCAAATCTCCAAATCTCCAAATCTCCAAATCTCCAAATCTCCAAATCTCCAAATCTCCAAATCTCCAAATCTCCAAATCTCCAAATCTCCAAATCTCCAAATCTCCAAATCTCCAAATCTCCAAATCTCCAAATCTCCAAATCTCCAAATCTCCAAATCCCCAAACCTCCAAATCCCTCAGTCTTCAAATTCCCAAATCCCCAGATCCCCAAGTCCTCAAATCCTCAAACTCTTAAATCCACAAATCCCCATATCTTCACATCTCGAAATCCCTAAATATCCAAGCAACCAAATACCCAAATTCCCAAATCCTGAAATCCCTTACCTTCCACGTGTAACTACAAACAATCAGCATATTTCCAAATAATCAATTCACCTAAACAACTTTGCCTTTAAATCCTCCACATCTCCAAATATAAATCACCATATCCATCACAAGCAACAAATCCTTAACTACTCAAGTTTCTCCAAATTTACACCACAAAAACTCTAACCCTAACTTCAACGAAACTCTACAATTGACTTCCATATTTACCTTTCTCCCATCCAAGGCTTCGATCAATTCATCGAGTTACTGATTCATCGAGTTATTCTTATTCAGTAAGAAATGTCCCACTTGATTGACTGAAATTCACACAATTTTGTCTAGTTATCTTAGGAACGGTCTGCGCCAGAAATTCTGTTGGATTCGGTCGCATCCGATGGAATTACAACCGTGCTCTTGATTCGTTCAAATTGACTTCATTTCATTAGACTGCCTTTCGCGAATCAGATCTTCTTCGTTTAATTGACAACATCACGATTATCTTCCTTCGCACGTGGTGCGTCGATTGTTGAAGGCGTTTTCAAACACAAATTATTTCCACAGATCGTTCGATCGATGTTCAACGAAACTACCGCCATGGCTCCGTTTCGTCGAACATTCTTTGTATGTTATCGCGCAGCATCTTTTCTTGTTCTGAAACAGCAAATTTTATGCGATTCTGAGTTACAAATATTTAGGAATTTAGAAATTTGATGATTTGGATATTTTGGGGTTCGGAAATTTGGAATTAAAAAATTTGGTGACTTAGAAATTTGGGACCTTGGAAGTTGGACAAATTAGAAATTTGAGGACATAGAAACTTAGAGCTCCAAAAATTTGAGGCTTTAGTAATTTGGGAATTTACAAATTTAGAGCTTCAGAAATTGAGATTTTGAAATTCCAAATTTGATCTAAAAATTTATGAATATAATTTGAGTATTCAAGGATTATGAAATTTGGTAATTTAGAAACAGATAATTTTGGAAGCTCAAAAATATGAATGTTTAAAATCTCTCAAATTTTCAAATGTTCAAATTTGAAGAGTTAGAAATTTTTAGAATAGTAACTAGTCTATTATCCTACGTCCCTTATACTACAAAAAGTGTCATGAACCTAAACTAAAAAACCATGCATGCATCTACCAAGAAATAAACAATTCAACATTAAAATAGAAAATAAAATTTCTTACTAAACCCGTAAAATGATTACCGTAATTCAGTAATCGTTAAATGAATACCTTTGTTCAATTTACCTTTCGTCAAATTAGCAATTACACACTGCTTCCTAAGAAATTCTAGGCACAAAGCACGCGACAGACCAAACGCATGCATGTTACACGTGAACGTCCTGAAAGTTGAAAACCCTTTAACACATTTAGAATTGCGCTACGATTCTTCTACAAAAATATATGTATTTATGATCAATACTTACCCTAACTGTCCAAATACGATGTTAGCTTGAAATTTACGATCCTCCAGAGCTATAGCTTCTTGATCCAAGGACTTTGGCCTCGGAGGAACCGGTCTTGAAGCTCTTTCGCATTGAACTGCGTCGAAGAAGGCTGCGGTCCAAAACCTCATTGACGTCCATATTGGTTGCACTCGTAAATGCGTGTACAGATACTCGCGATAGGGTTCCAGTCCTGGTACCTCCACTATTTTGTATGAAAATTACTATCAATGCTTCTCATTTAATTTTAATATGAAATAGAGAAATAATATCTTCGTTTCGATGTAAAATTGAATACTGAACTTACAGGCGTGAGATGTGTACTTAATTTAAAATTAGAAATGAAGTCGAAAAATAAATAAAGAAATGACTAAACATAAAATCATGCACACGTTAACTTTTTATCTTCTTGAAAATCATTTGCAGATTTCAAGAAAAGCATCTTTTTTGAACGTTATTGAATATATTAATAGAAATCATTGCATTGATCTTCAGTGTATTATTATTTTAATCTTATTTAATTAGGTCATTTATCTAATTTACTTGATTTAGTAGAATTTAGTAGAATTTAGCACAATTTAGTAGAAAATACCTAATTTAGTCATTATTATTTAGTAATTATAAATAAATTAGTAATTTACTTAATTTAGTAAAATTACCTAATTTTGTAGAATTTAGTAGGGTTACGTAATTTGATAGAATTTATTAAAAAATTTTCCTAATCCACTAAAAAATTAAGTAATTCCACAGTTAAAAATAGCAAGACACAATTTTGTAATAAAAGATTGCAACTGTCAGAAGAGTAATAAGTTAAAAATTGGTTATTTATATCTGACATTAAAATATTGCTGAATTTCTGTATCAATTTATCGTTCTTTTTTAATGTCTGTATCGTTGAAATCTAGAGGAGATACATGTTTACCTTCATGATAAAACGTGAAGCACATGTTCATGAGGCTTTTAGCAGGTGCAAAATCGTCCGCTTCGTGGCATTCGAAAAGTGCCACTGCAAAATGCTGCGCCAAAGAGTAAAACGACTCTTCGGTAACGCAAGGTCGTGCTCTTCTCGCGTTCACCACTCGAGAGAACCATATTCTACCGGATTCTGTCTGTAAAGTACGGAAATTAATCGAGATATATTTTATTAATGGACATATACACATTTGATAGAATAAAACTGAAATGAAATTCAATTATCTGAATGAAAATGAACATTTGCTGATGAAATTTATACTTGAGAACCAGATTAACTCGAGTTCGTTTTTATTACTTTGTAAAAGAAGTTATTAGAAGAAAAATAAAAGTACATTGATACACTTCAGTGGAATATTGAAGTACTGAAATATTTAGTATGTAATATTGTAGTTGTGAAGTATTTTTAGTATGAATGAAAAAAGAATGAAACTGTGTTTGTGATTGAATACAGAAATTATGGCAAAATAATATATTGAGATACATCTGCATTTATAATCTTGTAACATTTTACAAAACTTGTTATCTTATAATTTGTATCTACTAAATAGATTAAATTTCTGATCGGTTTATTGTAATTATTTAAATTAATGGTAAATTGAGTAGATTAAGATGACGTCGTACATACAATTCGTAAATAGTAAACAATATTTACTACGATTTAAATAAATTTTATATAACACTCCAAATATGAATACGTACAAGAACCATTTGACCGAAACTAGCTTTCTGCTCCTGATCGATACTATTCGGAGCATCGAATAGGAGAGGCACAAAGGTTTTCATAAAATCTGCAGCCGATTCTTCAGACTGGCTGTCAGCTGATAAACTGGAGGCCCAAGATTGAACGGATCCTGAAGAGCCTGAATAAATTCCACAAGTTTTACTTATTTCTCAAGTTGTGCTTCTCGAGAAGTGGAGTGAGTTGTACGAAAATTCTTTAAATAAATATTTTTAAATTCTTACAGCAAGGGTTTGTATCTTAGCGAGTTACAATTTTAGAAGATACTTATAAAGATTAAATTTTGAAAATGAAAAATTCATGAAGATATTAAAAATGATTAACTTATGAAGACATCGAAAATGATTATCTTATAACAATATTAAAAATGACTAAATTATATAGATATTAAAAATGATTAACTCATGAGAACATTACAAATAATTATCTTACAAAAATATTAAAATTGACTACCTCATATAGATATTAAAAATGATTAACGTATGAATTCATTAAAACTAATTATCCTACAAAAATATTAAAAATAACTACCTCATATAGATATTAAAAATGATTAACGTATGAAGACATTAAAACTGATTATCCCACAAAAATATTAAAAATAACTAACTCATATAGATATTAAAAATGATTAACTCATGAAGACATTAAAACTGATTATCTTACAAAAATATTAAAGATAACTAACTCATATAAATATTAAAAATGATTAACGTATGAATTCATTAAAAACGACTATCTTATAAAAGTACTAAAAACAGCTAAACTCTACAAATGTTAAAAATGATTAAAACCCACTGCCCGAATATAATAACAGTAATAAAATAATATCATAATGAATACCTAAAACTGTTCAAAGAATTAGTACCTGAACGCTGCCATAATCGACGACCGTCCATATTGGAATCGAGACTGGTGCTAGGTCCATAACCATCTTGATCGCTCATCGAGTCGCTGCTGCAAGGCTGCATGTCTGAAATAATAATCTACAGGAAACACTCTCCCAATTAGCCGAAAATACGTATGTCTACTATTCTCCTAATCAATACTTGACACTGGTGCGTGTGACACGTTAAGTCTGTTGCTCAAGCAACATATGTGTCTAATCTAATTCTTGAAACACAAGGTACACCAATGGGAGGCGGTACAGTGCTACATATCACGTATTACGTATGTATAAGGAATCCTCGGAATCTAGATACACATATTAAGTAACGGGGTACACATTTGAATTGTTACATTTAAGGACTTACGGTGTACAGGGTGCTGTTAATTAAGAAGTGTGGAAAGCTAGCAAAATGTGGTTTTAGGTAATATACGGGGTGGAGAATGGGGGTTGAAGATTTTACGGATATTAGAGATGGGATCGAGTTCCTTATAAAATTGCAAATTTATAAATTAGGTAAATGAAATAGGACGAGGAAAATTAAAAGAGTGAAATGAAAGATTCTTTTTATGGTATTTAGGGGGAGGTATTGAATGATACTTGTGGGATTGTTATGGGGAGAATGCATATTTGGGAATTTAGAAATTTGAAGATGTAGGAATTTATGTACTTCAGAATCTTAGGATTTTGCGATTTTGGGATTTGGAGTTTAGAAATTTAGACATTTATGAATTTAGAAATTTGGCAATTTGGGGAATCTGTGAATTTGGGAATTGGGAAATTAGGGGACCTGAAAATGGGAAATTGGGAAATCAGGGGACCTGAAAATGGGAAATTTTGGAATAGAGGAATTTGGAATTGGGAAATTTGGGATTTGGGAAATTTGAAAATTGGAAAATTGAGAATTGGAATATTTGAGAATTGGGAAATTTGGAAATTAGGAAATTTGGGAATTGGGCAATTTGGGAATCGGGAAATTTGGGAGTCGGGAAATTTGGGAATTGGGAAATTTGGGAATTGGGAAATTTGAGAATTAGGCAATTTGGGAATTGGGAAATTTGAGAATTAGGCAATTTGGGAATTGGGAAATTTGAGAATTAGGCAATTTGGGAATTGGGAAATTTGAGAATTAGGCAATTTGGGAATTGGGAAATTTGAGAATTAGGCAATTTGGGAATTGGGAAATTTGAGAATTAGGCAATTTGGGAATTGGGAAATTTGAGAATTAGGCAATTTGGGAATTGGGAAATTTGAGAATTAGGCAATTTGGGAATTGGGAAATTTGAGAATTAGGCAATTTGGGAATTGGGAAATTTGAGAATTAGGCAATTTGGGAATTGGGAAATTTGAGAATTAGGCAATTTGGGAATTGGGAAATTTGAGAATTGGGAAATTGGGAAATTTGGGAATCGGGAAATTTGGGAATTGGGAAGTTGGGAAATTTGGGAATTTGGAAACTGGGAAATTTGAGAATTTAAAAATTTAGAAATGTAGAATTTTTCATACTATACATTTAGGAATTCAATAATTCAATAATTTGGTAATCTTGTAATTTAGCAGTATAGCTATCTAACAATTAAGAAACCCAATAATTCAGTAATCTATAAATCTAACAATTAATCCAGAAACTCAGAAAGTCGTCAGATAAAAAATTAAAAAAAAAAAACACAATTTGTACCACTAAATCCCATCTCTAATAAAGGTCAGTCTTATTTGAAACATTGTATCGCTATAAACATAGGAAAAAACATTTGGTGAGGAACAAAGGAGACCTGTGATGGTTCACAATACATTCACATCAACGTTGATTTACCTAAACGAAAAACGACCGTCTGATAGCGGGTCGGGGCCCTTGCTTCGTTGCAAAAAGAAACAAAATGCATTATATAAAAAACGTTTCCACGGAAAGAAACCTGTTGCGATGCTAAAAACTCATTTGGTGAGTAACTGAATCCATACAAAATCAGGTACAGACATTATTTGAAGTGTTTCGAAGAAAAGATTAAAAGGTTAAAAGTACATTGAGATCAAAATTCGTGATTAAATTTGTTGCAGTATTATTTAGTTATTGCAAATCAAATGACTGATATATTCATTAACTCAGGAATATCTATAAATTTATTAAAGATAATTGTCAATATTGTTAAAAATACTGTCAATCGAAACGTATTGCAAAAATATTATTTTTAATATCAGCAGTTGTTAAAAGGCATACCTTTTAGTTATAATTATCTGTGAATGTAATAATTATTTCTAAATGTAGTAGATGCAGTTATAAATTTATCATAGTTATGTGTGATAATATTTGTTAATGTAGTAAGTACAATTATTTAATCAAAACTACCTAGTTGAGCAATAATAAATTATTATAAGTAATTACTCTCCAATGTATAAATCACTATAAAATAATTTATTCCCTTCTATTATTCATTCTAAATTTACTTAATCACATCACATTATTAAATGTAAAAGATTCTCATTGTTTTCGTCAAACTTTCAGCTCCGATCTTTCACAGTTTCAAAAATAGCCATTTAATATGCAAAAACCACAGTAGCATATGCAAAACCATATTATAGATATAAAAAATGACCAAAAATATTGCGTGCTGATTTTCTTCGCGACATTCAAAGATACTATTCATATCACAACTCACCTGCTCTATAATTCAATTTGTCAAAAGGATCAGGTCCTGTGGCTTTGATATCCTTCTCCTGTAGAGGTTCTATACTTTCTTGACTGTCTCTGTCAGGACTGTTATCATCCTCGATTTTCTCCTCCTGTGTTTTAATTCCAGCTGATCTGGACGACGCTATTTCTTCATAAGTCATTCCAGGCGGATATTTTCTCATGCATCTGGACATACTCGCACTACCCTGTCTCTCCAATTTGTGCCTGGCGATCGCTTCGTAGTCCTCGTAACACATTCCAGCTCCAAATCTAGATGAATTAATTGTACAACTCGAAGTATAACAATATCTGTCCGGAGTATCATAACTTCATATTGTTGGTGCTTCTAGTTTCAGAAATCGATCAAACTTATCTCTCTGTTTCGCTCACTTGTGACGTGTCAAGGAGACACGTTCAGAAGTGAAATACGATGAAATATGGTTTGAATTTATATTAGTAAATAATTACTATCTCTAATTTGATAAATAACTATAATTGGTTATTTCATAAACAATAAGATCATTGAAACTTATCTGATAATATCATAGGACTGTCACAAGTAGACTGCAGATATTTGCATTTATATTAGTAAATAATTATTATCTCCAATTTAATAAATAACTATAATTGGTTATTTCATAAACAATAAGATCATTGAAACTTATCTTATAATATCATAGGACTGTCACAAGTAGACTGCAGATATTTGCATTTATATTAGTAAATAATTACTATCTTCAATTTGATAAATAACTATAACTGTTAATTTTATAAACAATAAGGTCATTGAAACTTATCGTATAATATTTAATAACTGTCACAAGTAGACTGCAGATATTTGCATTTAGGATATTTGTGAATGCCTATCTTTCTCAAGTCTGAACAAGCACCTGATGCAATTTTTAAGATCCACAATTCACAAGTAAATTTATGATTTACGCATCACAAATGATGTTTATTATGAAGACGATAAATGTTTACAATAAATACATGAAGATGCTGTCCAGTTATCAAGGTAACAATAATTATCCTCCAGTTAAAGGGATTATAAGAGCTACGAACTTGATTTCCAGAATGATTCAGTTTCATTAGAACTCGATTATGAAGTCAGTTCCCAGAATGAGTCAATTTCATTAGAACTCGAAGTTCATGAACTCGGTTCTTAGAATGTTACTTTATTAGAGCTGATCGAAGGTTACCTTGGAAGTCTTAATTTTCTCCTAGCCAGCTGCTCTTCCGGTTTGGCCGTCTGAGGTGGTGCTTGTGGCGAAGAAGGCGGCGTAGACGGGGTCGTGGTCAATTCGCTCTCTTCTAAACTACTACTTAAAACGGATCCTATCTTACTACCCAGACCCTGAAGATACTCTCCACTGCCTCCCAGAGCAGATCTGACGGACCTAAGTGCACCTCTGGTGCGTCCAATTAAAGATGCCCCACCGGTGGGTGGCGGAGCCGTTGTTACGTCCACCATCTTCTGCAACGAATATGCATAACAACCCTATTAGCATTTAATAGTATAGCCGAAGTGTCCTGTTGTGGCTAGTTGAATGGAGGATCGTTTTTATTTGGGTTTTCAAGTTTTAGTGGTGATTTAATTTGAGTTGTCGAATTAAAGGTTTATTAAAATGTGTATATGCAAAGGGGTGTATTAATAAAAATTGATAGAAGCATGTCTTAATATTTATGTTGTTGGGTAAGATTTCAATGATATTTTTTTATACGAATCAAGTTAATTTTAGTTCACTGTTGTTACTTTTTAGAAAGATAAGAGTACTAACACATTTTAGAAATGAAAAATTTCGAATTAGAAATTCAATAATTTATAACATTCGAATTTAGAAATTTGCAAATGTAGAGTTCACTTTGAAACCTCCATACTAAAAAATTTAGACTTCTTAAAATTTCAAAATTAAAAATATTGCATTGCTAACATTGAAATCTGTAAACCTTCAAATTTCAAAAGTATGCATATACAAATTTTTAAATGTAGAAATGTCATAACCTTAAAAGGAGAAATGCACAAATTTCTAAATACACAAATATTTAAATTTTGACCTATACAAATGTCCAAACTTTTAAATGCAACAATACCCAAATTTATCGCAGTAATTTACATTAAACCTAAAATTAGATAAATAATTTACGAGTCATCACGTTCTAACCATGTTAACATATCACTTTTTACCAATTTTCAAAGAGAAACTTCACTACGTTAAAAACAAAATATACGATAAAGAATTTGAAGATAACTAGAAACTATGTAATGTTGTATGTTATTAAAAAATAGGTTATACAGTTATGCTTATCCGCTTGGTGGAACGTAATTTCAGATAAGTAGTAAAAAATGTATTTTGAATGTATGTAGGTCACGAAAGACGTTTAGGTGTAGGTGGTGGAGTAATATTGAAGCATCGTACGCAGTGCAATAAAAGACAGTTGAATGGAAGAGAAATGAAGGCTGGTTTTTGCGTAGGTGTGACATTTTTAATATTTCAGACGTGAAAAGCGATTTCGACTAATACCTATTCGTAAATTGAATTCTGAAGTTAAGGAAAAATGTTACCACTTAAAAAATTCATTTGATAATGGAAATGAAATAAATCGAATTAATTTGACAATGTAAATGAAATAATTCTTATTAATGTAATAATGCAAATGAAATAATTCGAAATAATGTTATCATATAAACGAAATAATTTTTCTTTATGTCTTAATTTTTCTTCATAATTTTCATGTAGTTATAACTTCATTAAAAATTTGTTAAAACTTTCAACATTACTGAAGAATAAAATATTTCATAGAAAATTAAATTGTAATTTAAAACGAATATTAATTTGAATAAGTAAGATGAAGGATTTCTGAAATGTTTTCGAGCCCATTTTTCTTAAGAGAATTATATAATGTTTCCACGAAACGACTATCGTTTTAACGTCAACGACATGTATATACTTATATAACGTTTTGTGTATAATGAAACTTTGCAATCTGCATTTAAATGAAGTGATAAAATGCATTATTTTATATTTTGTTATTGAATATAACGTCCTTCAGTTTGTCCCTCGATAAGATTTATTAACACAAAAAATTAGTCGTCAATTCGTATACTGATATTATATTCCTCGTTCAAAAATATTGAATAGAATATACTGAACTAACATAAAAAAGCCATTAGTGTGTTTGAATAGCTTATCGGTCATATCGGTGCAAGGATGATGAATATGCTTTTTTATGGCCATAAAGGAAATCAAAACTAAAATTTTTCGTGTAGATTAAGTGGCGTTAAATATAATTGCACGATACGATCTCACGTAGTTAATTATGAATAATTTTTATGAGTACTCGAAGATTTAATTTCATGATGTGAAAAATATGAAAATGATGAAGTTTATTGAAAATAAAATTTCTGATAGATGTTACAGTAAATTTTTAACATGATACTAATAATTTTACTAAATATTTAATTATTGGTTAATAACGAACAAATTATAATCAATACGTTCTTTGTAATGAAGCACCCATGATGAATTGTTAATATTTAATTTTGTTCAAAAGAATTAATAATAATTTGTTAATCATCCTAACACTAAAACCGTATATTTAATCAAAAATATTGCATCGATTAATATATTTGGTTAATAAGGTATACATGTTCTAAATAATAAATTTAAACCTTTTAAAAAAAAGTTAAGTTATAACCTTAAACTATAAAGATTAATTTATATTTGAGGAAAAAAATGTATATTTTGATTTATATTTTAAGGTTAATTTATAAGTAACAAATTACAAATTAATTTGTATTAATTTGTATTTATAAAAAAAAATATATAAATGATATGAAATTTATAATTTGACGAAGAACGAATACTTTTGTGATGCACTGTACATACGAGGAAAACAATAGGGGAAAATGCGTGCCTATCAGTAGAGGGATTAAAAGTTGCACGCAAACATGGTAAACTATAACTTTGTCTCAAAGTAAACTCGTGTCTCTCCTCTTTAACATTAGCCGTGTGACATAACGTAATCTTTAATATTTATGTTGATGCGTATGTTTCTACAATCTACCTTCTAGTTCATGTTATCGTGTGTTCATTGTGTGTATACTGGGTGTTTCACGCAAACAAATTATTTCGAGGCTTTGAAACGAGGATAAAGGAAAATGTCAAACGATAAAGTATCATTATTTGACATTTGCGACTACACGTAATTTTCTTATCGAACTATTAACCTGCTGCAATTTTGCGTAATTTTAACGCCGAACTTTTATTTATTCGTTGTTAGACGTATGATATGGAAGTTTGAAGATTTGGAGATTTGGATACTTAGAAATTTGGAAGCTTGGAAACTTGAAAGCTTGGTAATTTGGAATTTTGGAAATTTGAACGCTTGGAAATTTGAAAGCTTGGAAATTTGGACGCTTGGAAATTTGGACGCTTGGTAATTTGGAATGTTGAAAATTTGGACGCTTGGAAATTTGAAAGCTTGGAAATTTGGAAGCTTGGAAATTTGGACGCTTGGTAATTTGGAATGTTGAAAATTTGGACGCTTGGAAATTTGAAAGCTTGGAAATTTGGAAGCTTGGAAATTTGGACGCTTGGTAATTTGGAATGTTGAAAATTTGGACGCTTGGAAATTTGAAAGCTTGGAAATTTGGAAGCTTGGAAATTTGGACGCTTGGTAATTTGGAATGTTGAAAATTTGGACGCTTGGAAATTTGAAAGCTTGGAAATTTGGAAGCTTGGAAATTTGGACGCTTGGTAATTTGGAATGTTGAAAATTTGGACGCTTGGAAATTTGAAAGCTTGGAAATTTGGAAGCTTGGAAATTTGGACGCTTGGTAATTTGGAATGTTGAAAATTTGGACGCTTGGAAATTTGAAAGCTTGGAAATTTGGA